GTTGACTGAGGGGAAAAAAAGGGTTGGAGGGAACCAGTTATTGCTATAATACATTGTAGAATATGTTTGGGCCCTTACAAGAGTAGATAATCCCTCTCCCTCTTCCTCTTCCTCTTCCTCTCCCTCTTCCTCTTCCTCTATATCAGAACCCAGATATACAGTTGTTATAGGACCTGGCTTATTTATGGGGGGGGGGGGAGCTTAAGTCTCCAAGATTCAGGATTTCTGTGCCAGTGACTCGGGTTCAAATCCACTCCCGTAGATCTACTCAGATAATATAGATCTCTCCACCCAGTCAAAACAACAATAGCTGTTTCCTCGGAGTTTCTACCACTTTGAAGAACCCAGATTTATGAAAACTTTGCTTGAGAGCCTTCCTCCCACTTCCCCAGTCTTAAAACTAAATTACGCTCGTTTTTTGCGAATGATCTCTCGTCGACCCACATCTGGCCAAGTCAGAGGATCGAGACCCTTGATGTGGGTGCATGATCTAGTAGGTCGAGTCAGTTCCAAACAGAGGACTCAAGTAGACTTTTACTCTGAATTGTTTTACAAATGACATAAAACTGAAACTCCCTCTCACTTAGAGGATCCTCTGAATGTATGTACGTGTGTGTGTGTGTTTGTGTGTGTGTCCTTGCTCAAAGCACCACATGTTTTTCTACGCTTGCTACAAGGATCCTGTCTTGTGGATGACGACATCCTGTAATCCAGAACAGTTTTTTTATAACAAACCATGCCAAGTTTTGCTTTTTATGCAAGTAGCTGTTTGCACAAATGAATTAATACCGTAATACCGTAATACCGTAATACCGTGAGGCACAGATAACTGAAACACGTCGGGGATTGGCAACATAACTCTGGTCCGCCAATAACGCAGAATCAAAGAGATATCAATCGGGGGAAAGGCACATTGTGCCAGCCATTCTTGATGTCGAGATTTCCGTGTTCTCGTTATCTGTGCCTGGATGTAGATTGTTTCTTTCTGTTGCTGCAGGAAATGTTAAATGTATGAACAAAGGGGGATCCAAATGATATTCTAACATTTGCTTCTGAAATGTTAACGACTAGATTTTGAAAATATTTAATGTCTTTTTTAATTTGTTTCAAAGGTTTTTTAGAGCAGTTTTGTACCAAGGAAAGGTGGCATTCTGCTCTGTGTTATAAATAACATTGTTTTTTTTAACTTGTTTGCCATTAGTGGCATATTTTGTCAGTTTTGCCAACTGACATAATTTGTTTTGAATTCCTAACCTCAGTAGAAGAGAGTGCTGGAGAAGAAGAAAAGGCAATGTACTGTGACAGACAGATGAACAGGGAACAGTGAATGTGTTCTGCACTATTTACCGCTCAAGATTGCGCTGCACGTTTTAACGATCATATATAATTCCGTGGCAATCTTTAGATTGTGCTGCGCGTTTTAATGATCGTATATTGTATCATTCTTGTGAGCTCTTCAGTTTCATGCGATAATTTTAATTTTAATTTTAATTTTCGTATTTTTAAAAGAATAAAAATAGAAGTGAATTTTTTTAATTATTTCAAAAATATAAAATAAATTAAATGTACTTTGTGAACTTTGAGTTTGACACCTGGCATTGTATCATTCTTGTGAGCTCTTCAGTTTCAAAATTTAATGTTAATTTGAACTCTAATTTTAATTTTCATATTTTTACACTGTTGATGATATGTGTGAATGTTCCTTGATGTGAGTAAAAGAATAAAGATGGAAATTAATTAATTTTTTAGAAAGTTATTTCAAATCCAGATTGCCGCGCAATTATAATAATATGATCGTTAAAACGTGGGGTGCATTCTTAAGATTGCTGTGCAATTATACGATCGGTAAATAGCAAGGAACAAGTATATTTCGGAAAGAACTGATACATTTCCTCATCCTGTACGTGCCAGATCTTTGAGTTAACGGATTCTTATGCGACTGTTTGCCTCAATACCTCTGCTGTCTTACAGTCACCTTGTTTGTGTCAAGTGTTCGGTCGACACGTCTGCTGAGACTGTGAGATATTTCTTCTGCTGTTCCTCCGTGATATTATCTTCTCCTCTTCCATTTTTACAATTTTCAGATTTTTCTTTCACTTTTGGGCGGCGTTTTTTTGTTGAGTTTTTCTTTTTTCTTTTGGGGATGTTGTTGTTTTTTGTTGCTGTTGATTTTTTTAGGGGTTTTTTGTTGTTGTTTTTTTTTGGGGGGGGGGGCTATAATAAATAGCTTTTTTTTGTTTGTTTTTGTTTTGTATTTATTTCTATTAATTTAGACATTTTTGTTCAACCCATAATTTTGAATGTGGAGAAAAGCCATAGCTTTACTTGTCTGTGAGTTTGTTCACAGGCTCTGATGTTGTTTGTTGTTGACTAAACCCTGGTTCATGTTGCTCGTGTGTTGCTCGTGTGTTGCTAGTGTGTTGCTAGTGTGTTAGTGTGAGGAGGCTGAGACCAAAACGCGTTGCCAGCGTGTCGTCTTGTTGTGTCGGAACAAGTGCAGGGTCAGCACACAGTGCCTAGGACATCAGGTCTCTTCCAGCAGGGGACAGGATGAGACGGGACGATGTGATGTCTCGATGATCATACTTAAGTTTGTCTTACCTTTCTTCACTCACTCAGGGTGAGGTCGTGTGAGTGTTAGGGATGCATGCTATTTGCCAGAAGTACCAATCCATGCTCATCTTTTAAGTGCCCATAATTATATTTGTTTAGTGTTTGGTACAGTTCAAAGTACCAAAGTCTTCAGATCTGTTTTATGGTTTGTTGCGTTCATTTGTTGGTTACAGCAGGTTTACACAGTTGTGGTCAAAGTGGCTGATTGTATTGGGGAAGTTTTTTTATTAAATGAAACTTGAAGTGATTTCCTTTGTAAACTTGTTTATTAGAGAAACTGTAGACTTTGTTAGTGTACCGAGCGCTCATATGACCTTGTGCAGTTGCATGCACGGTAAAGCACTTACCACAAACGAAAAAAAAAGACTTTGTTAGTTTGAGTTACCTCTTGTGTTATAGATCTAGATCTAGTTCCCACTGTGACTTGCAATACGTTTTGTTTGCCAAATTTCTCCGTAATTCTTTCTCTCATTTCTTGAATTTGGTTCAATAATTCAAACAAAGATGTTTAACGGTCGAGGTGGAGCTTAGTATCAATTTTATTTATATTATTCTAGATTTTACGTTATCTGAGTAGCTTCAGAACTACGGATTATTAGAATATAAAATAGCGTGCCTTTGCTGCAAGGAGTTTACATCTTTCCTACGTTAATTTTGTGATTATTTTTGGAGTGGAAGTTCTTATAATGCTGGTGAGAGTACGTACGTGCTCTTGTATCATGTTGTATTTATGTATGAGTTTATTTGTGGGAATGAATATTTACCTTTGAGAGAATGTTTTTTCAAGAATCGTGATATTAAACCTCTGTTTCACCTCAATAGGCCACGCTTATCTTGCAGGAAAAACAATGACAAAGTATCGGCCGGGCTCACTGTAATGACTTTTAATTATTGTAAATGTTTGACGCCCACTTCCTCACAATCTATTGATGAGGCTTTTGTAAACTGTTTTTATGTGGTACGAAACAAATAACAAAACAATGCTACAGTTAGTCTGAGATTTTGAGGCTAGAAAATCTGTCTTAAAACAATGCATTAACTCATTTATATTTATTTGAGCTTATTTGAGCTTCTTTGAAAGAATGTATTTACATCTGTTTATTTTATCCGATTTCACAGTTATTCCTAGCGGCTTTGCTGTAGGTTTTCAGGCAGTTAGATCTGACATAGTTGCACCTTTTAAAAAAACGGAGGAGTATAATAGACATTTATTATTACTTTCACCATAGCCAAGCTTCTTGTTGTATATTCTACGACATGGTTAGGAGAACATTTCTGCCAAGTATCAGGTGACTCTCAATCCCTCATTGATATCAGGATCAGGATCAATCCCCTTTTCATTTTGGAGGATCTAGAAAGACAGATGTAGAAAGAGGAGGAAAGGAAGAAGTTTGAATTACAAAAGAATACATGAGCTTGGAAAGGAGAACTGTTTGTTTGTTTTTAGCTGCGTGACGATCAAAGAGAACTCTTTGTTTTTACCTGAGTGACAGTATGTTTTGTCTGTCTGTCAGGAGAGATGTTGGTCTTGAGTTTTATTTCGTCTGTTAGTGACTGTTTCATTTGTTTAACCCCTGGTATTGTTCGCAGTGAGCTGTACATTCACCCCATTAAATAAATGTGAGGGGCGATGACAAAATGAGTTACTTCACGCAATCCATTAATGGAGATAATATCAACCAAAACTAAACATACGTGAAAAATTTGCAGATTTTTATTTGATGCAATTTCTTTCCTGTATGACATGTCTTTTATCATTTAAAACAGATAAATTGTACAAAATCAACCTATAAACTCGACTTATGTATGTTCATATGGCTAAAATACGAGAAATAATTCATTTTGTCAGCATGCCTTACAAATTCTAAATGCTATTTCTGCTGAGGATGTGATCAGTTTTTGTTGGGAGATGAAAGTGCAAGAAGATGGATAGAGGTGTGAAGTATGCAGGGGGGAGGGGGGCGTGGCTTGTCATTTA